CCCCAGCCCTTTACTCTCTATTTCTATACAACTGATTTTCTTTATATTCCACATACAAGTTGGCTCATACAAGTAGTTGTCTTCCTCTACCTAATTTCATTTAACATAAAAATGTCCTATTCTATTCATATGGCAAAATTACCTTCTTTTTAAGGCAGTATAGTATTCCATATTGCACATATGCCAATTTTCCTTATCAATTTCATCCACTGATGAACACTAAGGTTGCTTACATGTCTTGGTTATTATGGATAGAGCTAAAATTAATATGGGTACAAAAACCCGTTCGACAAACTTTGTAAAATTTCCTGTTTCAAGTGCACCTATTTATTCTGGTGACAATTTCATACTATTCTCATATTAAAAAGAAAACTAGAGAAGTGCTAGAGAATTAAGATAACTCTATTAACTTAAACCTAGAATATATGCCTCACCTCCTCATATTCTCAGTATTTTTTTAAATAAATAAAAACCTCAACAAGCCTGTAATCCGAGCTACCCAGGAGGCTGAGATCTGAGGATTGCCGTTCAAAGCCAGTCTGGGCAGGAAAGTCCGTAAGACTTTTATCTCCAATAAACCACCAGAAAACCGGAAGTGGTGCTGTGGCTCAAGTGGTAGAGCGCTCGCCTTGAGCTGAAGAGCTGAGGGACAGCGCCCAGGCCCAGAGTTCAAGCCCCAGGACCGACAAAAAAATAACTAAGTAAACCACCTCAACAAGGAAAGACAATTACAACAAGACAAGACAATTATAGATTGTATATCGGTCATATTCCGTCCTTCGAATCAAAGACAATTTCTTTAACGTTCAGATAAATTCAGACATTTCAACGAATCTTAGGGAATGTTGCGTATGGCAGGCCGAATTGTGACAAGTGATGAAAGCACTCGAATTCTGACTGGTAACGACGGTAACGGGTAACGTTCAAGAACAGGCAACAGGACGACTCTTCCACGCCAGCCACCTTCAACTTCAGGTCCCACGAGGGAGACGGCCTACACTCCTACACCGGGCGGCCCTGTGGCCACGCCCCCAGCAGGACCCAGCTCCGCGCCGCCCGGC